CTGCAGCCGCCAGCAGCACTAGCAGCCGCGGCAGCCCTGCGGCCCGCGGCGGGGGCGAGCGTCGGGCTCCCGGCGCAGGACCCGCTCCGACTCCCGGGCAGCGAGCCACCGCCGCTCCGGACGCCGCCATGTTGGAAGTGCCTCCGGCGCGCTGAACTTTCACCCTGGCAACCACCGTCACGTGCGCCTGCGCGCCCGGCCCCGCCCCCGCGCGTCTGGACCTGCCCCCCCCCCCCGCCCATGCGTGGCAGCCCCTCCCCCAAGAGTCTGGTGACGCCGTCGCCCCGCCCATGCGCGGCAGGCCCCGCCCAGGCCCCGCCCCGCCCCGCCCAGGCCCCGCCCCGCCCTGGCGCGCGTCCCGCAGACCCTCTCCCGGAGCCGGGCCAGGATCGCCAGATTTGGCAAAAGGAAGTGCACGAAGCCAGGTTCAGTGTGAATTCAGACAAACAGCGAGTGGGTTTTTCAGCCTAGGTCTGTGCCATGCCCGAAATGCAAATTGACGAGACATTCTTTTTTGAGACGGAGTCTCACTCTGTCGCCCAGGCTGGCTCACTGCAACTCCGCCTCCCGGGTTCAAACAATTCCCCTGCCTCAGCCTCCCGAGTAGTTGGGATTACAGGCACGCACCACCACACCCGGCTAATTTTGGTATTTTTAGTAAGGAAGGAGTTTCACCATATTGGTCAGGCTGGTCTCGAACTCCTGTCCTTGTGATCTGCCGGCCTTGGCCTCCCAAAGTGCTGGAATTACAGGCGTGAGCCACCGCACCCGGCCTACAAGACATTCTTAGACATAAAAAACTATTCCAGCGTCCTTTCTTCTACCTGGCAACCCCACCTGGGGCTTCAGAGAGAGGGTCTGCAACCCAACCTTGACATTTTTTTTTTTGAGACGGAGTCACCCGCACTGTTGCCTGGGCGACAGTGCAGTGGTGTGATCTCAGCTCACCGAAACCTCCGCCTCCCAGGTTCAAGCGATTCTCCTGCCTCAGCCTCCCCCAGCAGCTGGGATTACAGGCACTTGCCACGACACCTGGCTAATTTTTTGTACTTTCAGTAGACACGAGGTTTCACTGTTGGCCAGGCTGGTCTCGAACACCTGACTTCGTAATCCACCTGCCTCGGCCTCCCAAAGTGCCGGGATTACAGGTGTGAACCGCCGTGCCTGGCCCAACCTTGACTTTTTAATATGAGGTTTGAGTGCTTAGAAAATGCAGCCAACACCCGCTCAAAGTCAGATGTGTTGCGTGCTGCCTTTTAGGGTGTTCCAGTCGAACGCAGCTTCAAGGTTTAGAAATTAAACCATAGGACTTTTTTGCATCATTGAACAGGAAACCTGGTTTTTTAGTTGCTATTTCAGATTTTTACACATGTCAAGATTTTCTCTGAACTGTGCGACCATAACAAAAAAGAAAGGGAGCGAGGAGCTGGTCCCAGCGGACCGTGGCCGTCCAGTGGCGGGAAGTTCAGATTGTCACGTTCTAGCGCATCTCGTGATTAATTTATAAATAAGTAAATGTTGTTATTAGAACGTAAAATACATTTACACTGATATGGCATCTGTCTGCTCTTTATATTGTAGGGGTTCAGCCAGACGAGGTGGCTCACGCCTATAATCCCAGCACTTTGGGAGGCTGAGGCAGGAGGATTACTTGAGCCTAGGAGTTCCAGACCAGCCTGGGCAACATAACGAGAGCCCATCTCTAAAAAAAAAAAAATTATCTGGGCATGATGGTGCACACCTGTAGTCCCAGCTACTTGAGGGGCTAAGGTGGGAGGTTGGCTTGTGCCTGGGAGTTTGAGGCTGCAGTGAGCCGTGACTCTGCCACTGCACTGCAGCCTGGGTGACAGAGCAAGACGTCGTCTCACAAGAAATACATAACTGCATTGTGGGTCCTGTGTAAGATTTTGTTTGAGAAAAGATTTTGCTGCCAACAATGGCTAGTCGCAGATGAGAGGATCCTCCACAGAGGGCCGGGCCGAGGCGCCTGCTCCCTCTCCGTCACGTCCTGTGTCTCCTTGTTCACGTTTCCTTCCATGGCGCACATTTCCTGGCTTCTGCTCTGTGCCAAGCCCTGGAGACAAAGTGGAAACAAAGCTGAGCCCCCAGTGCCTCTGGCCTGCATTCAGGCAGACCCAAAACAAACCGAGGAGTAAAGCGGCCAACACGTGCCGTGAAAAGCAATGAGCGGGACAGGGAGGCAGATGCCAGTGGGGCCGCGTACACAGGAGGTGGGGTGGAGATCTCTGAGAAGGCACCCAAGTGGAGAAGGAGGTGAGGGAGGAGGCACACTTGCAAAGGCCCTGGGGCAGGAGGGGGCTGAGCGCACTGGAGGAACATCCGGGAGCCGAGCTTGGTGGAGCTGGAGGAAGCCGGGGGAAGCGTGAGAGGGAAGAAAAGCCAAGAGCCTGAGCGAGACCTGGGGGGCCTCATAAGCCAGGCCGAAGACTCAGGCCGTGATGCTGAATGTGGGGGCGGCCATGGGAGGATGCGTGCAGGGACCCAGGTAGGAGGGGAAGCAGGGGACCTGGGAGGGGCTGCCGCCTCTGTCCACCAGCTGGCGGGACTCAGGGGAGGGGTGAGTGGCAGTGCTGGCAGAAGGGTCGGCCGAGCCTGGGTGGAGGCAGAGGGTGTCACCTCAGCAGAGTTTGGGGCAAAGCAACTGGAGGAAGGTGGCTGCTCACGGCCGAGACAGAAGCCTGCAGCAGCGAGGCAGAAGAGTGATGCCGGGGAGGACGCCAGGAGTTCCCTTTGGACCTGTTACATGTTGGTGGACTTTTCAGCCCCTAAGGGAGGTGTCAGGTCGGGATTTGGAAGGGGGAGTTGAGGGTTTGTTGAGGCTGCTTGCGGTCCCCCAGGGAGGCTGCAGGACAGAGGGGAGGGCCACATGCTCAGCCCCAGGCCTCCAGAAGGAGCAGCGGTGAGGAGGCAGGGGACCAAGCGTGTGCAGAGACCCAGGAGAAAAGGAGCCTGACCCCGCTGAGACAGGATGGCCAGAGCCCAACGGGAGGGGCACATTCAGAACGTCAGGGCAACACCTCACCCCAAACCTGCTCAGTGAAATGGAGCCACCCGTGGGACCAAGCTCAGCCCAGCACTTAGAGGCTGCACCCCAAAACAACCAGAGTTTCTCCAGGCCAAGGCAGGAGAGGGGAAGGGGTTGGGATTGAATCTCAGAGTCTAGGCAAGAGCTCTCTGTGCCGAGCCAGGTCCTGCCCAAAGCCCGCGTGAAATCTGCCCCTCCACCTGCAGGAGAGGCGTCCGCACGGGCTGTGGCTAAGGCCAGGTGACTGCAGGCACTGTAAGCGGGCATGCCACTGAGCGTGAAAATACGTGGCCGGTGCTCATTTTCAGGTGCCCTCAGAGAGACAGCGCTGGCTTCAAAGGATCAAAATGTGGGGCGATCACATGTCAGACCCAATGGAGCGAGGCGCTGTGCAGGCGGAGACAGCTCCGTCTTGGACCTCACCTGCTGGGTTGGCTCCTGATGAGCCTGATTCTGGGAAGGCCTCCATGATTTCCAGTTGATCTGTTGTTCCCTGTGTAGAGCGGGTGCCCTCAGGGCAAAGAACCCTGATGCCATCTACTTCAGGTTCCTGCACGTCCTTCTGAACCAGACCCCGATGGCAGGTAAGCCCTGGGCCTGGGGTGATGGTGGGACCCACTGCCTGTCTGTGCCGGAGACACAGATGTGGCTTCTGTTTGTAAGTCCCTACTAAATGTTTCTTCCCCAGAAACTGCACCTGTCAGCCTCTTTCTTCTGCCTCTCAGCCTCCTCTGCTTAGGGGTAGGTTTGCACAGGCCTGCCCATTGTGGAACAAGTGTCAGTATTACTGTTTTACAGAGGAGGAAACTGAGGCTCAGAGGGCTGACTCCTGTGTCAGGTGAAGGGCACCGGGCATGTATGTGACAGAGGAAGGGTCTCAGGTCCACATGGCTCCCAGCACCCAGGAGGGCCCATTCCAACACTCGTGTTGGAGACAAAGGCAGGACCCCAGCTCTCAGCCTGCTTGCTTTTCACATGGGGAGAGCAGAGATGAGGCCAGACAGACTTCAGCTGCTCTGGCTCTGGGACTGGCCCTGCTGCCTCCGTCTCCTCCTAGAGCAGGAATTTGCCATGGAGGGCTCCGCTGCTTAATACCACCACCCATTTTGGGAAAAATTCTGGGAAGGAATTCTGCACACCTGCACCAGCCCCTGAGCACTGGGTGCGTGCCGGAGACGGTGCCCGGCGGGAACAATCCCATGTGTCCTCACTAGGACACCATGAGGAGGTGGGTGGCCACCCTCCAGAAACTGTGGACGTGGAGGCACGTCTGGGGGTAGGGGCTCCTTGCCAGATCCCTGGTGAGAGGTGGAGCAGGGCCCAGGCAACCTCAGAGCACAGGTGGCTCTCAGCACCAGCACAGCCCGTGCTGCACCAGCTACAGCGGGCAGGGGCAGGGAGCCCCAGGGAAGGGCCGATGGGGGGGGTGTGATCCCATCCTCTGCCCCCTGCTGTGATGCTGCCAGGCAGTGGGTGGATAGGACAAGGCCCACGGACTTGCTGTGGGACCTGCTGACACTCTCCCAGGACCCCAAAGCTGGCTGGGGAGCCAGGAAAAGGACAACTTCTGAGCCTGGCTTTGCTGGACATGAAATGGCCAGCCTTGACCCTGGGGCAGAGAAGATGAACCACAGGGATCCCGTTCCACGTGGGCAGTGAGTGAGTGCTCCCAGATCCCCGGGAGTGTGCGCGGCCACCACCTTCATAGAGGGCCCCTGGCCTTCACGTGTGTTTTATGAGGGTGGCCGTGATGGCCACGCGGGGCCAGGGATCAAAAGGACTCATAAAGTTTGTCTGATGATTTGGGACTCGGAGCACTTGCGGACACATTCATGGGCATTTTATGCAGGAGGGAACTGTTAAGCTGGGAAGCTGAAAGAGACAGATCACGGGAAAATTAAATGTAGGGTTTAACTGAGAAATAATCATTTTCTATGAAAGATAATGACTTCTCTGGAGGCTGGTATCAAGATTTATTGGCCCAAGCCATGATGGCAGATCAGAGCCCAGGCAAGTATGTCGGGAGACCTTGAAGGGGAGGAACCTTGGATTGCCATCTCGCTAGGTCAATATATCTGAATGCCAAAGCCCTCCACTCCGTCCGCATCGTGCTGGGAGATTAACTGCGTTTACACCCCAGGTGGAGCGGCTTTTTCTTCTGCAGTCAGAGTAACCTGAGGGCTCTGGCCCCCTCCAGCTCCACCGTCCTTGGAAGCCCCAGCCTGCATTTTCCTCCATTCCTCAGGAACAGCCCCCTTTAAGGGCACCTACCATCGGCCAGCGACAGGAGGCACCTGCCAGGCTCCCAGGGAAAGTCACTGTGGTTCCGGCTGTGAGTGCAGCCACCATCACATCACACCCCACGTCAGCACCAGCCATGTGGCAGGGACCCGGGGAGCCATCGGATTCACCGCAAATCTGCGGGGCGTCGGTGGGGGAGATTTATTGCCATGCCAGATGTATTCGTGTGAAATACATCATTCCTCCCACACAGCCTCATAAATCCAAAAGGGTCAGCCATAAATGGGAAAAAATAAAAAATCGCAGACTAATTCGTTCAGAAGACTAGAAGGGAATCGATGCAAAAACTGTAGCTCGGTTCAAAGTTTGTTCTGAAATGGTGAGCACGGAGCAGAACACATTCCCCACTGGGTCCAGATCTCCCTGTGCGCTCGGGTGGGCTGGGCTGGGGGGGCATCCACGCAAAATCGGGTGCATGGCCTGAGCTGGGTCCCCATGCACGCTCTGAATGGGGGCCCTGACACAGGCCGGCTGTGGTGAAGGCACCTGGGACTGAGCGGCTGCCCTGGAGCTGGGGGAGGCAGGATGGGCCCAGCTGCTGCCCAGCGAGGGATATCTGGACGGAGGCTCCTGCCTCGAAGCAGGGGTCCCAAAGGGGATCTAGGGGGCCTGGGGACTCTCACAGAGCTCTGGGGTAGAGGGCCCTGGTAGCTCCATGTGTCCTGTCACCTGGCGCCTTGGGCTTTGCCAGGCCAGCTTTGTGATGCCTCCCACTCAGACTGCATACATGAAGCCTGGAGTGCGCTCCTCTCTTAAAGTGGAGGCAGCCTGAGGCCCTGGACCGGAGAAGCCACATCCTGGAGGGATCAGTGCTGGGACACAGATGTCCCTAAGGCCAACATGGTGCTCATCAACTCCCCATTCAAGGAGAGACCCTCACATTCAAAAGGATCCCAGAGAAATTACAGGGGTCCCAGCGAATCCCCTGGAAGTGCATGACATGAGGAGAAATCGGATGCCCTGGACTTCCAGGTACAGCGAGTCCTAAACACGCTCAGGAAGAGACTTTGGGCCACTGATCCCCAGAGGACAAGCCTGGTTCGGGCTGCAGGGGAAATGGCCTCGGGCCCTTGAGCTGCCGCTGCCTCTGGTCCGTTCAGCTCAGGTGTGAGACACCCCCGGCAGTCCCCCCAGCTACACATCATCTGCCAGCAATGGGGGGCGTGTATGGCGGGGGCGCCTCCAAAGTCAAAGCAGGCAGATCCCCCAACTATCTTCTAAGCAGGGCTCAGGGGTGCGAGTCAGCACCAGCTGGGCCCACCCCAGCTCCTCTTTGCCCCGAATGCTCTCTCTTCCTCTCGTCCTTCACGGATCTCCACGACCCCCCTCCCAGCAAAGGTGCTGCTCCGCCCCATCCCCGTTCCGGCTCCAGAGGACCCTGACTGTTCTCGCCTCTGGGCTGCAATGCCTTTTCTGGGACGCTTCTTCATGGCTTTGATGTGACAGAGTGGGTGTGCAGTCTGGGCCTGGCTTCAGGTGACCGTCCGCACAGCCAGCTGCCCACCGGTCCACCCTGGGAAGGTCCAGGCCTCCAGGTTCCCACGTGCACACGCGTGTGCCACACACAGCTCACAACAACCCTAAAGACGCCTGTGCATCTCTGTAGCTCCAGAAAACACCCCCTAAGGGCTGCCCCGGGGGGCCATTGTGGAGAGAGCTGCTAAGGACTCGAGTGGGACCCTCCTGGTGAGCTGCGTGGAGACCAAGTCCACCACCTGATCTCTCGCCCCACCTGGGAGATGGGCACGGCAGCCTGAATCTGTCTCCAGGAGCGGCTCTTTGCCCAGTGGGCCCTTGGGCCCAAGCAGGTCCTCTAGCTGGCAGCTCAGGCCTCCCTCAGTGTCCTTGCCAGCATGCTCAAGGGACCCAGCCTGTCCTTGGGCAGCCAAGGGCACTTGGCCTGGGGGAGAGGCTGCTGGAGCTGCTGGCTGGGGGAATGGCATGGCTGCTTGTGTGGGTGTGGCTGCCTTCCTGCTCTTACCCAGCATTTCTTTGGGGTCTCGGCCCCTGGTGGGGGTCTCGGCCAAGCAGGCTTGGTTGCCCAGGGACCCCACAGCAGATGAAGCAGTGTCTAGGAGCAGCTCATCCAGACCCACCGAGAGCTGCCCTGACCCTCCCCGGCTCTCTGCACACCCAACGCTCGGAACTGCCTCCCAGGGCTCTCCCCGACTGCCCGAGACCTCCTCCAAGGCCACATCAGCCCAGAACCCTGTGCCCAAAGCAGGATCCTGCTCCCCTGAGGAACTGAGGAGCATCATGTCTGCGTTGCCAGCCGCCAGCAGCCCTGACAGACCCTCCCTGGCCACAGAGGCCACTCTGGATAGAGCTGTGAGCTGCACTGGTGGCTCTGGGAGCCCTCCAGGGCCTCTGCCTGACCCTGCACTCGAGGGAGACCCTGGCCAGCCGGCAGGTTCAGGCCACTGGCTGCCTCCGGCCTCATCTCCTGCTACAGAACTAGACCTTTCCAACTGGTCCTCAAGGCTTCCACCCAGTCTAGCTGCTCCTGGGCAGAGCCCTGACTCCTGGGGTGCCTCAGACTCCTGGGGCCTGGGGAACAAGGCCTCCAGCAGACTCTCCTCAGACAAGGAGGATACGTCCTGGGTGGTGACAGCGGTGTCCTCCCCAAGGGGGCCCGGAGGCAGGGAAGGGAAGGTATCTGAGCCTGGGGTAGTAGTGTCTTCGGCATCACTCTGTGCGTGGGGGGGGGGAAGGGGTGGGGGCAGCGGGGCCTCCCTGTGGATGGAGGACGGGAGGTCGGCACTGCTGTAGGACAGCACCTCGTCCACGGGAGACAGGATCTCAGTCAGGACGCCGCCGGCAAGTGGGGGACAGGCTTCCTCCAGGACAGCAGGGGCTCCATTCCTGCCAGGCCCAGGTGCCCGGCTCTCAGCTGCTGGGGGTGCCAGCCTGCCAGGGTCCCCAGGAGGAGCCTGCAGGGTCACCAGGGTCTTGGGCTCTGGCGTGAGGTGTGGGGGTTTGTTCTTGGTGGACAGACTTGGCTCAGCATCCCGAGTCCCCTCCTGGCGGCTGGAAGTCTCTCCTCCTCTGCCGAAATCTGCCCCTTCACTTGCAGAGGTCCCCAAAGGAAAGGCCGGCAGTGAGTCTGAGTCACCAGGGGAAGGGATTTGGGGCGGGAACACCACACAGGCAGCCTCAGGGGGTGCCTGCTGGGCTTCTCCTGTGTCCAACACCCCTGTCAGGCTCTTGCCGGTCCCAGAAGCTTCCTGCATCTTCTGGGACTGTGTGGAGGGAAGAGCCATCTGGGGCTCCATGCCGCTTTCGGGGTCTGATGAGCCACCTGCAGGCAGGGAGCTCACCGAGGCTGGGTTGGCACCGGGACAGGGTTCCGGCAGGTCCTCCTCGCTGTCCTTGTCCCATACTTTGCTGGAGGCCTCTGACAGTTCTGACCCTGACCTTGGAAAGGGGACATCTGGGAAAGACAGCAGCTGGCCCACCTCCAGGCTTTGCTCAGGCTCTGAATCTCCTGCCATGGCTGTGTCCACAAAGCAACCCTGCAGGGGTCGGGCCCCACTGCCCCGAGGCCTCTGCCAGGTCAGCAGTCCTCCACTCCCAGGAATGCTGCCTGGCCAAGGCTCACCCCAGTTTGTCCCCCAGGACAAAGGCGACCCCACTTCCTCCAAGGAGCGTCTGGGAGAGAGTTCCCCAGGCCGGCTGAGACCTTCCTCTGGGGAGTCTTCAGCTTCCAAGCTGGGAAGAGAGTTGGAGCTGTCAGAAAGCTGGATCAGGGTGGCCGCTGCTTTCTGGAACTCCCAGAGAAAGGGACAGGACAGGCTCCTGACAGAGCCTGCTGGGGAGGTGTAGGACGACTCCAGGGCTTCTTCTGAAGGCCCAGGGCAGGTTCCGGAAGCAGACTCAGAGCTCAGCACCCAGGAGGAGAAGGCGGGGAGCAGGGGACTGCCTGGGAGCAGGATGGGGGGCACCGACTCCTCAGGAGCCACAGGAGCTGCCGAGAGAGGGGACGATCAGCAGTTGTCACCCGCTGCACCCTGGACCCCCCGCATATCCCACAGTCCCCAAAGCCAGGAGATCAGAACAGAAAACACCCTGGTTTTCACCAGGGTGAAACAGGAAAAGCGACTAAAGGTGCCAGTGTCTTCAACCCTTCTGATTCCAACACAGCGGTTCACCACGCCCACCCCCACCCCCACCCACATGCAAGGAGTCATGTCCAGGGGCCTTGCCGAGCCTCGAGCCTCGAGGACCCGGCCTTGCAGCAGCGCAGAGGTGGTTCAAGGACTGACTGGCTGACTTCGCCTTGTTTTGTTTTCATTCGAGATGTGGGTGGATCCCGACAGAGGACCCCTAGTTGTCATTCACCTCCCCTGACACCCCTGTGATGGGGAGGTGTGTGGGCGAGCCCCCAGCCGGGCAGTGGGGAAGGAAGGCAGGGGCTGCGTGCTGCGGGGAGAAGCCGGCTCTGACATAGAAATGGCCTTGGGGGATCCTCAGTGGGGACTCGATGGCTGAGGGAGGGTTTGGGGGCCGAGGCATCACCTGGGGAGACAGCTGCCTGGGCAGCTTCCAGCCCAACGGAGGAGATGCCGGGGACCTCCTGCTGACAGGCCTCTGTCCTGTAAACACATTCGTGGAGAACCATGAGGGATCCCAGTCCTCCCAGCCCCTCCCCCAGGCCCCACTGTCAGGGACCCTGCCAGGCTCAGTCCACACCCCACACCCGAAAAACACCCCAGCCATCCTCTGCCACCACCTGAGGTGACCCTGAGGGGTATAGAGTCTCAGAACCACTGGATCAGGTGGCAGAGAGGGGTGGGGCTGCCACTCCCAGGGGGTTCCAGGGCCCCTCTGCTGACCTCAGGCCGATTCATGGGTGATATCTTTATTTCCAAAAGTGGGTCAGACCCAGGAGGGCTCAGGGCGAGTGCACAGCTGTGCCCCGGCAGCACAGGGGTGCCAGTAGAGAGTGAGGTCCCGCAGCAGGAGGACAGGCAGTGCTGGCCGAACCCGTCTCTGTGCCTCAGGCTCCACCCCTGCCCCAGGTCCCACCAGCTCCAGGAACCCCAGCCCCACACCTCTGCTCTCCCGATCGCCAGCCCTCAGTTTCCTGGAACTCCTCCACGGGGCTCTTGGCAAAATCCAGAGCCCGTTCCCAGCCTTCTTGGCTCATGCTGCCCTCAGCCACCTGCTGGAGACACGCAGGAGAAAGGACACAGTCGGGGTATGGCCTCTGTCTGTCCACCTCCCGTAGCTGGATGCAGCCCCTGTGCTTCCAGCAACCACGAGTGGTTACGGAACAAAGACCACCCTGAAAGAGGGCCATGGAGACCCCCACTCGCCAGATCCCCCCCACCCTCAGTGGGCCCTGCCGCCATGGAAAGAAGTCTGTTTTTCTGCCCAGGTGTTGGGTCTTAGGGTGAGCCCAGAGAAGTGGCAAACCTCAGCACTGAAGGTAGCTGCCAGGAAGGGCCCTGAGGCACTCATAGGACAGACCAGGAGACCCCCAGGGCCACAGCAAGGCGGACCCCACTCAGCCCACAGGAAGTGCACGGCCACACCCGACTCACACTGGCTTCCTGGGGGCCACAAGGACCCTCTCTGTCCCCAGAGCGACGGCTGCGTTCCCTGAAGCTCCTCACATGGCTGTCTGTCGGAGCCAGGGGCTTCCCTGCTAAGGAAGGGCTGGGCTTGGTCTGAGGGTCTCCTGCAGTCCAAAGGGACTGTCAGCACTGGTGGGGACAGAAGCAGGGGGCAGACGGAGCGGCTCCCAGGAACTCCGAAGCCACATGAAAACAAATCTTAAAATCCACAGTGGACGCACACCTTTCTGCAGGGCTTGGTTAGCATGAGGGTGAAACCTACACGGTAGTTTGCTCCTAAAGTGACCCTGTCATTGGATGGTCAGTGATCTGAAGTCCCAGCCAACAGCTTAGAGAAAAGTCGTTTTGAAGTTAGGGGCCTCTTTCCCTCCCTGGGGGAAACCCTTTGCTAGAGCTTGTCCTTCCCCCTCGGTGCCATCCAAAGAGACTCTGACACGAGGCAGGGGTGGCGCAGAGGGCTGTGGGGACAGGCCTCGGACACCCCAAGGTCACCAGTGCATGGCTGGGGGATCGCAAAGGGGGAAAATGGGGCAGGTGGGGCTGCAGCAGAGCCCTTCCCAGGAGCACTGGGCCTTCCCCCCATTTCACCTCCGTCTCCCTAGATTTTCGTTCTGTGCTGGGCCTCGGCAGGGTCAGGGGACTCTGAGGGCCAAGGCCACCTGGCTGAGGGACCCAGAGTTGTGAGGCTAAAGCAGAAGGGGGTGGAAGTTTTATCAATGGGAACACCTGCCCTCTTGCCCGTGGCCCTGAGCTACCCCAGTGACACAATGGGGCCCCTGAGAGTGCAGTCTTCCGATCAGAGAGTGGCCGGCACTGCAGCCAGGCAGACCCAGGGCAAGCCCCAGGCCACCTGAGAACATAGCTCAGGCTGCAGGGTGGGCACAATGAGCAAGCGAATCCAGAGGCCATGAGCACCCATGGTGGCTGCAGGTGCCTGGCCGGTCCCCGGAATGGTGAGAGCTGGTTCACGTGGCCATGTGGTGAGGGAGGCTTCGGGCTGAGCAAGCTTCACCGTGACTGCAGAAGCCTGAACCGCAGCACGCCCAGGGGCGAGGCGGGACGCGGGGGAGGCCTCCAAGGAACAAGCTCTGTATTCACTCCGCCTCCCAGCGCCACTGACCACTCCAGGGCCCTCCCCACCACCGGCCACGCTCTCCTGGGCAACCCACAAGTGTTTCTAACCTCTTCCCATCTCAACCTGTCTGTCCTGAGGTTTGCTCTCCCTGGCCCCGACTGCAGGGAACCCCCAGTCTGGCAGACCCTCAGGTATGAATGGTCTCCCTGCTTCCAAGGGTGGACACTGGGTGGGGACCGTCTGAATTTGGCACCCGGGGCTGGTCAGGGAGCTCCGAGGTGGTATTGCAGGCTGCGAGACCCCCCACTGTTCAGCCGGTGGCTACCAGGGCTCCCCCACACCGAGAGCGCATCTCCTCCCGCCCAACTTGCAAATGGGGGACGTGGCTCTCAGGGAGGCCCCGGGCCAAGTGTAAGGTTCAAAAAGAGAAAAATGTAATCGGTGCAAAGACCTCTATCCACAGAAGACGTTCGGGTAATGCTGGCTTCCAAATGCTTAAAAATCTGCCCCAGATTAATGAAGTCGCAGCTAAAACAACCCCCGCCAGTTATGACTTTTAATTTCCCCAGAAAAGCCACCGCATCACCTCCGGTAGGAGATGGAGCCGGCCACTCTTCTTGCCGTGAAGGGGTCCAAGGCCAGGGTGGCGGGCCACCAGGGCCACTCTTGTTCGCTTTTCGTCCTTGTCCGGCGGCTGAGCTCCAGCCTTGGACGGGATCCACCAGAAGTGGGCAGAGCGTCCAGTGCTCCGGAGGCCCACATGCTGATTCCAGGGTGCTTACCTGGCAGCAGCTCCTTCGCCTCCCACGGCCTGCGCTGAGCTGTAGGGAGGCACCCCTCCGCCTCGTTGGCCTCCATGGTGAGACAGGGGGGTGGACATGGCACAGGGCCCTGGGGGGGAGGGCACCAAGGGCCAGGGATGGACGGAGATGTTTGGGGACAGATGGGGACAGACTGGGGTTCATAGGACCGACAGGGGCGGACAGGGACAGATGGGGACGGACAGGGACCCACTGCAGGAACCAAGGACGGGACATGGGAACCAAGGGCCCCCAACCAAGATCAAGTCGCCGATTGGCAGAATGGTGGCGAGGAGGGGCGGTCCCTGAAACAGGTGGTGCTGAGGAAAGGGCTTCCAGGGATTGCACATACAGAAAAGGCTGTGCCCAGCTGCCATCCGTCAGGGGGGTTCTCGTGCTGCAGGCCTGGCAGAGGGACCCGAGACTGCTCCCCAGGCTCTGAAAGACACAGTCCCGGGAATCCCAGCAGTGACCACAGACTGAGGCCAGGAAGGGCAGGGATGAGTCGGGGGCAAATGAGCTGTCAGGCGGGGTCTGCCTGTGTGGGGAGTGGGGAGGGTGTCGCCACATGCTGCCCTGTTCCAGGCAGGATGGATGGCAAACAAGCTAACCTTGAGGGAGACGGTGATGGCCTGGGGCCACATCAGGCCCTCTGCCTTGCCCTGTCCCCTGCCTGGAGGCCCGAGGGTCTGCTCAGCCCCAGGCCTGGAAAAGGTGGCCTCTGAGACCCTCGAATCTTCCTTTTGCCCTGGGCAGAGGCTCTCTGCCAGCCTGTGTTTCTGGGGACTGCCTGACAACAGTCTGAGGCCTGCACGTGGCCCAGGGGCCCCATCGGGAGCCCTTCCCCGAGCAGAACCTGTCTGGGTGGTTTCTGGCTGTCGCACGCACCCGCTCTGTATCTTGGGAATGCTGGCTGCCTGTGCACCGGGGTGGCCCACTGTGTGCTCTGCTGCACTGGGACGCAGAGACGGGGAGGCCAGGGGAGGCCCAGTCACACTCGAGGTGCAGCAGGCCAGAACACAGGCCTGCCCGACCCTGAGCCTGATGCCACCCCACATCGCCCAGGGCCCACTGAATACGAGGCGCTCTGTCCCTGGGTGGTCACCACGCTGCTCTGTTACCTTGGCTGACGTGGTTGCCACTCCCCACCAGCGGGCCCCAGAGGTCCAGTGTGTCCTCTCCCCACGCCGACCTCGGAGGCTGCTGGTGACCGTCCGTGTGGGAGGTTGTCTGGGGCACCATCACATCCTGGGGCTGTTCTGCAGGAGGGCTGCACGGCCGTGCCAGTGGAGGTGACTGCCCGCCCCGCTGCCCCTTCCTAGGTGTTCAGCCCTGGCCACAACCTCCACCAGCACCCCGTCCCTGGGAACAACCTCACATCACATCCAGGGGTTGCCTTGGTCAGTGGCCAAGCAGAAGACAGGATTCTGACCCCCTTGCGGGGGCAAGGTAGGTGGGAGAGGCCTGTGGCTCCCCAGCGTGTGGCCCTTGAGGCTTCTGCCTGGAGATGGACCGTCCCTCCCAGGTGCACAGGCTGGGCTCCAGGAAGCCCGGCGCCGCCCCCAGACTGAGCTGGCCTCCAGGCCCCCCGTCTGGTCTGCCCCTGCCTGGGTCACACTGCTGCGGTGGCAAGAAGCCTCCCTGCTCTCAGGTGCCAGCCCCACGACACGACATGCGCCTCCCTTTCTTCTCCAGGCACTGGTCACACCTGGGCACAGCTCACTGCCCCACCCAAGGGTGCCCCTGAGCATTTCCCCCAGATTCACAGGCAGTCAGGGGTGGGCAGGAGGTGCTGGTTCAGACGCGGGCCCTAAGGGCCTGGAAGCCCTGTCTCCCTAGGTAGATGGCTGAGGGGCTGAAGCCCGCACTCTCACTGGGGCAGGACCCAGAGGGCCCCTCAGCACCAGTGTGTGCCCCATGAAGGCTCTGGAGGGAGACGGGGCAGTGCCCCCAGGGCCCACCACCCAGCCCCCAAAGCAGAGAAAGGCACTGTGCTCCGGGAGCTGCCCCAGAAACAGAAGAGGCTGAATAAAAATGGGAACAGGAGCCCCTGACCCCTTCTAAAGGAGTCATTCCCCTCCTCGAACCCTCCCCGGCACACGTGTCTCAGTCAAGGACCCTGAGGCAGCTCAATCTGCTCTGTGTGGCTTCTCCCTGGCTCTCCCGGTGCTGGGGGTGCAGACACTTGCTCAC